ACATCTTGTGGTGATCTGTGTTTGTGTATTTATTTCTTGGTTTTTCTGTGTCCTGTTCCCCTGTGAGTCTCTGTGATGTCCTGTCCTATCTGTTGATTGATCCCAGCTGTTTCTTCCCCGATTACCCTCCTTGTGTATTTAAACTCACCTGTTGTCTTTGTCTCTTGTCGGGTCCTAGTCGTGTCATACCAGTCTGTTCTGCTGTCATGCGTCTCATGTCTCTTCGTTCGTCTTCAGCCAGTTCCTTGCGTTCCTGTGTTTTCTTCAAAAAAATCAACTTTTACAATGTCAACCTGGGCCTACCTGCGTCTACCTCCTCACCAACACCGACAAATCATGACACATCTTCATAACTGTCGCTACTTGTTTCACTTTACTTGAGGTAAAAGTTAATATTAATGACACTGTAATAACACTTAATGACATTCATAACTGGTGCTTCTTGTTCCACTTCATGTAAAAGAAATTGTTATTGACTGTTATTAAATCATTTGACAGTGTAATAAAGCTTAATGAAATCTTTATTGTTGGTCCTACTTGTTTCGCTTTATTTCAGATAGTGGGAATATGAATTGCATTTTTGTCTAGATTAATGTCAAGCTGTCATAATGAAGACATTTTGAATAATGTCAACTTTGTATTAAAGTGTCATGATTTACCGAATGACACCTTATGACAACAGTCAAATATTCATGAAGACTTACTGAGGTTCATGGCAGGTGTTATGTCATGTTTCTGACTGTCATGTCAGTCTTATTCACAACCCTTCAAATAAAGTGTTAAGTTTTTTGTCACTGGTGGTGCGGTCAGGAAAGAAGTGCAAAGAAAGAAGGGAAAGACATGTAATAAATGGCTGGGAATCAAAGATGCAGCCGTGCAGGATTACAACAAAGTTAAAGGGATGTTTTTTTTCCCATAGCATCTTTAAAAGCCTGAGTGTTCATATGTGAATAGAAAAAAACTTTTGGGTCTTTTTATTGCCTTGAGATGATCTCTAAATATCTATATAAGTGAAGTAACTGGCCACAGAACTAAAACCTTGTCAAACATCTTAAATAGGCTATGGTAGACAACTTTATTCTAGCCACTGACCAATTCTCTTTCATTGGTCAAAACAATAACAACAACAACAACAACAAAAAAAAAAAAACAGTTAAAGCTTGAACAAATGAGGCCAGGAGAAATTTCCACCTGCTGATAGTTTACCGCACTGGTCATGCTGGATGAGCTGGATCGTGGCATCCCAGTTTTGGAGGACACCCTCTGGCCCTGTAGTTGGGATGGACTGGGGGCTATCACTCGTTGGGACATAAGCATTGGAGGCAGGCTGGTATTGGCTGAACGAATAACTGTATGACCCTAAAAAAGGAAGAACGAACAAACAGCATTAGAAGGAAATGAGGGTTGTTACCTTAAGGATTAGAACACTACCCTTTAAAATTCAAGGATATTTTTCTCTCTCTCACTAGTTTATTTGTATAACACACAAAGTCAGTGTCAGGACTTTAGAATTGGGGCGATGTGCTCTATTTTCCTGGTTTTTGTGAAAATGTGAGCAGCAGCCTTCTGCATCAGCTGCAGCCGTCAGATTTGTTTGTTTTTTTGTTTTGTTTTTTTAGGCAGACATGTGAAGACATTGTTGCAGTAATCAATGCAAATAAAGTTAAACACATAGATGAGTTTCTCTAGAGCTCGCTGAAACACTTGTCCTGTAATCCTGAAAATGTTCTTCAGGTGGTAGAAGGCTGACTTTGTAACTGTCTTTATGTGGCTATGAATATTCAGGTCAGAGTCCATCACTAATCCCAGAGTTTGGGCATGATTGCTATTTTCTAGCAGTAATAGCTGAAGCTGAGTGTTGATTCTAGATCGGTCCAAAGATAATTTCAGTTTTGTTTCTGTTCAGCAGGAGAATGTCATGGCACATTCACACATTTATCTATTCCAAGCATCCGTTTAGTGCTTGTATGGGTTCAAAGTCACCTGGCGACATCATAACATCCTGCATAGTTATGGTAACCAATCTTATTTCCTGTTATAACCTGAGCTAGTGGGAGCATATAGATATTTTAAGTAAGAGGGTCTTAGGATCGAACCTTGTGGTACCCCACATTTAACTTCTGTCCTCTTCCATAAGAAATCAACTATTGAAACAAAGAAATCCATGTTCTTTATGTAAAATTCAAACCAACCGAGTACTGGACCAGAGTCCTACCCTACTCTCCAGTCATTTCAGTAATAACTTATATTGTCAAAAGTATTCATTCACCTGCCTTGACTTGGTGGTGACTTTAACTGACATTCCATTCCTAATGCTTTGCAGCTAGAACAGCTTTAACTCTTCAGCTCTCAAAGTTTAGGAGTGTTTATAGGGATTTTTGACCATTCTTCCAGAAGTGCATTTGTGAGGTCACATAGTGATGTTGGAAGAGAAGGCCTGGCTCTCAGTCTCCACTCCAATTCATCCCAAAGGTGTTTATCAGGTTGAGGTCAGGACCCTGTGCAGGCCAGTCAAGTTCTTTCACACCAGACTCTGCCATCCATGTCTTTATGGACTTTGCTTTGTGCTCTGGTGCTCAGTCATGTAGGAAGAAAAAGGGGTCAGCTCCAAACTGTTCCCACAAAGTTGGGAGCATGGAATTATCCAAAATGTCTTGGTATGTTGAAGTATTCAGAGTTCCTTTCACTGGAACTAAGGGGCCAAGTCCAACTCCTGAAAAGCAACCTCACACCATAATCTTCCTTCCACCAAACTTTACACTTGGCACAATGTAGTCAGACAAGTATCGTTCTCCTGGCAACCGCCAAACCCAGATTCATTCATCTGACTCGTGACTCCATCGAAAGCGTTTCCACTGCTCTAGAGTCCAGTGACAGTGTGCTTTACACCACTGCATCGGAAACTTTGCATTGCTCTTGGTGATGCATGGCTTGGATTCAGCTGGACACCATGGAAATCCATTCCATGAAGCTCTCTGCGCACTGTTCTTTAGCTAAACATGAAGTTTGGAGGTCTGTAGTGATTGACTCTGCAGAAAGTTGGTGACCTGTTTGCACTACTTATGTTCTTATGTTTCCTTAGTTTTCTCCTTTTTTTCTTAGTTAGGGAGTTAGGTCTTTGTAATTTGGTTTATTTACTTTCAATTAGGTGTGTTTCTGTTAAAATTCAGATAGTTTCCTTTTGTTTGTCGTTTTCTGCATTATAGCTCACTCTGAAGCCATATGCTCTATTTGTAACATTTTAATCAAAACTACATCTTTTTAAAATAAATAACATTATAAATTGTTCAACCTCGTATGTATCAGTTGTTGAGATCGGAAGAGGAGGGATCCTTCACGTTGCGATCTGGCCATGCCTAGACTGGTCGTAACACAGGTGGTGTCATTTATGACTGTGTGATGACAGTCTTATTCACAACCCGTCAAAGTGTTACCAAAAAAACATTACACAGTCAACAATTGACCAAACATTACGTTTTGATGAGTGTCATCTCTTAAATCATACACATCAAATATCTTAGTCAATATTTCATTTATAATGGTTTGAAAGCAATTCTAAACAGGTGGGTTTTTAGTTTTGACGTAAAATAACTAAGTGTTTCAGCTGTTTAACAGTTTTCTGGGAGTTTGTTCCAATAAACTATTTACATAAAATTACTATAAAAATAATGGATATATACCATAAACGTACACAGCAGAACTGAATGATACATTACGGCATTTTAATGTAAAGGCATTTTGCGGCAAATTACTGTTAGTTGTGATTGCCAGAATATTACTGTATTAAATACGGAGGTACTGTATGAAGCATTAAAATATAATATTTTGCATTTTGCAAACTTTTGCTTGGAGGAGCCTACAGGTTTGGAACAAGCTTGATGAGAACTTGAAAGGGTTGAATCTCAATTACACTTTTAAAAAACAAATATTAAACTGCTCTGTTTATATACCCGAGATCACTTGTAGGATCTGTATGTGACTGTTCAGAGGTAAGAATTTGTGTTGTATATGGATGGTATGTGGAATGAATGATGTGCTTTTGATGTGTTTATAATATTAGTATATTAAAATGTATGGAATTGTACGTTACCGGGCTCCCTCTATAAGTTTTAAATAGCTTCTTTGGAGACCTGATTCACTCTATTATTTTACAGTTATGATCTGTGTCAAATGTAGTAAGGCAATGTGTTTTAAGTTTATCATGGAATTTTTTAAACTGAGTGAATAAACTGAATAAAACTGAAACTGTTTATAGAAAATTACTATAAAAACAACAGATATAGAGTAAACATAATTAATGTACATCAGTAAAAAACATGGCAAAACTGCATAATACATGATGACATTTTATTGTAAAAATTAACTCTATGGTAAATTAACGGCAGCTATAGATGCCAAAATTTTACTACAGGGTTTCCCCCAGAAAACTTGCTAAGCCCGGTGGTTGGGGCGTCGAGTCGGTCCACCGGCTGTCCACCGTGTTTTTGTATTAAAAGATGTTAAGTTGACAGGAAATGTGAAAGTATTACATGTTGCGGGAAAAGATCTCCAGTGAAGTGTTATTTAAACCGACAACTAGTTTAAAAACAACAAATTTGCACTTCTGTTTAATCCAAATTAAGTCAGCGGCTCCATCAGGCCCCCAGGGCTTCAGGGGCCCCTTAAATGCTAATATTTTAAAACAGACCACAGATACATAAATGTAACACTTGTTTATTGAGATGGTCAATGCTGTTAAATTTTATTCAATTGTTTAGGCATACATAAATTAAAAGATTTTAAATTGTTTAATATTTAAATACAAGATTTTAAGGAGCTGGCAAGTTTACTTTGTAAAACTTCAAAGAACAATATTCATAGTTAGATTGTTTTGTTACCATAGCAACAATCTGATGCTGTGAGTTTAATCTTTGAATTTACAAATACAAATTAGTAAACTGTGATGATAACTTATTGCTTTTTAGGCTGGTCAATTAAACTACTCTAACACAGAAGCTGTTAGAGGTGCTGATATTTTTAGCAACAAAAGGGGCCCCTAAGTCAGATTCTGCTCAAGACCTCATACAGCCTTGGGCCGGCCCTGCATGATGAGTTAATTTGCTGCACTATGCAGAGATGCGCAACAAACGGGAGATTTAATTCAAT